CTGGCCCCTCCCTGTCTCTTTAGCCCTTTCCCATTCCCGTTAATCCTTCTTCCCATCATCTAGCTATACTTGCTCTCTCTCACTTCCTCAAATGCCCCATGGTGCTTCTCACAAGGCTTTGTACAGACTCTTCCACTGCTGGAAAGCTTTTCCATTCAATCTGCCCAGTAAACTCCTCCCTTTTTACCACAATCAGTGAAAATTTTGGCTGGCACTTTTAAGGGCTCAACATTAGCCTGGTTATCACCTTTCTCAGTAGACAATTTCCTCTACTATGTATATCATTGTATACCTCATTTTTTTCTAACATTTGTCAAAACTTGTCATTTTTGTTTATTCCTGTTATTTTTACAAGTATCCTGTGCCATAGCACAGTACCTGGCACAGGACAGAGTATTCAGTATTCGAGTTTTTTTTTTTTTTTTTTTTTTTTTTGAGACGGAGTCTCACACACTGTCACCCAGGCTGGAGTGCAGTGGTGCGATCTTGGCTCACTGCAACCTCCGCCTCCTGGGTTCACGCCATTCTCCTGCCTCAACCTCCCCGCCACCACGCCCGGCTAATTTTTTGTATTTTTAGTAGAGATGGTGTTTCACCGTGTTAGGCAAGATGGTCTCAATCTCCTGACCTCCTGATCTGCCTGCCTTGGCCTTCCAAAGTGCTGGGATTACAGGTGTGAGCCACCGTGCCCAGCCTAGTATTCAAATGTTTCTAAAGACTTAGTCAGAATTCTTATTTATATAAGACTCAAAACATCAAAAGGATACATATGTAGAATGTGATCTCATGAGAAAAACTAGGCTGAATATGAAATTTATTCTTATATTTAGTTGAAAAGGGGCAGATGCCTAACGATTTGGATCAAAGAGAGCTGATGATAAAGAGGGCGTGACTTGATCACAAATCTAATTATGATGAAGCTGGTAAAATAACTGAAAGAATCCCTCCACATTAATAGAATCAAATGTCCAGATAATGGAATGTTCCCATTCATTCCAAAGTACCCAGAAACCAGTCACACCACATTCCTTATCGTTGGAATCCTTGGAGTGCATCAAGCTGACAGGAACCAGGTCCAGCAATGACTTTTATGAAATGGATGAAATGCAAGGTGTGTTCGGGTAGAAGAAGAAAGCTGATTTAAAAAATGGATTAAGTCTCCTCTGCTATCTGGAAATAACAAAGTCTACTCCCAATCAAAAACAGTTAATTTGTACTGATGGATATTTAAGTTTCTTTCTCTTTTGAGACAGGGTCTCACAACTCTGTGGCCCAGGCTGGAGTGCAGTGGCACAATCCCTGCTCAGGTGTATGGCAGCCTCACCCTCCAAAGTAGCTGGGACTACAGGCATGTGCCACCAGGCCCAGCTAAGTTTTAAATTTTTTTTGTAGAGATGAGGTCTCACTATATATTGCCCAAGCTGTTGTCAAACTCCTGGGCTCAAGCGATCCACCCAGGTTAAGAAAGGATCTTGTAGCAAGCAAAGCTAGGCAATAAATAACAAAGCTCCCTCAAAATGAGTACCTTGTTTCTCAAGCTCTTCTGACTTACTCCTGCAGGAATGTTTCCATAAAATACCCTGCCTCAAAAATCTGATTTTATGTTTAAAATATGTAAAATGTATACTTTATAACACTTTGGCTTGTATTACCAATAAAACTTTTACTTACCACCTAGTAAAGTTGCTGTCCCACGAAGATGTTCCTTATCTCATGGCTTCTCACATTATTTGGCACAAGGCCCCATGCATCTTTGGGTACCACAGTTTAAGAGAATTCCTCAAGAAGGTGTATGGCAATTTGCTAGCGTAGGGAAGGGGGATGCTATAGAAGAAATTCCCTGCAGAGAATACTTTCTTTATAGCATGGCTCAGCCATAGTTTCTGTTTTTAATAATTTAATAGATGATTTTAAGTTTTCTGATGGGGCCAATCTCTCAACAATGCTTCAAGAAGTGATCTTCAAACTATGCTATGATTTTCTAGTCCAACTCCAGTTTTCCCTAGATAACTTGAAATTTTCACCTAGAAGTGTTTCAAAAACACTTGTTGAGATTTGGGCAATGAACACATTTGATTGTTTTACAACCCTGTATTTTAGCCACAGGATAAATTTAAGAGGTAACTAGTTGCTCCATATTTCTACTTCGTTATCCCAAGTCCCTTGAAATAGGTGTTCAGTACTACCTGGAGTTTCCTACATATGATTTGGGAAATTAGGTTAGGCCTGCCTCCAATTTTTCCTAAAACTCAGAATGAAGAAAAGGCACATTTGTATCTCCTTTTTTCATCTTACGCATCTGAGGAAAGCCTGGGACTGTTCACACAAAAAAGTCATGATTTAGGCTGTCTCATTTGAGTGGAGTTTTCTATAGGAATTGATTTAGGACAGTGGTTTACAATCAGGGATGGTTTTGGGCCCCCAGATGTTTGGCAATTCTGGAGACATTTTTGGTTGTCTTAACTTGGGGAGAGGAGAGAGGTGCTACTGCTATCTAGTGAGTAGAGCCCAGGGATAACTACTAAACATCCTACATTGCACAGGGCAGATGACACACAACAAAGAATTATCCCGCCGAAAATGTTAATAGTGCAGGGTTTTAAAAATCCCAATTTAGGCCAGGTGTGGTGGCTCACGCCTGTAATCCCAGCATTTTGAGAGGCCGAGGCGGGCAGATCACTTGAGGTCAAGAGTTCGAGACCAGCCTGGCCAACATGGTGAAACCCCATCTCTACTAAAAATACAAAAATTGGCCAGGCGTGGTGGCAGGTGCCTGTAATCCCAGCTACTCAGGAGGCTGAGGTAGGACAATCGCTTGAACCTGGGAGGCAGAGGTCGCAGTGGGTCATGCCATTGCACTCCAACCTGGGCTAAAGAGCGGGAAACTCCATCTCAAAAAACAAAAAACAAAAAAACAATTTAGGCCTAAGTTAGTTGAGGGATTTTATGGGCAAACAGTGGGATTAGGTTGCATTCCCACATCCCTTTTCCCACACATTGTATATAGTACACTTTTGGAGAATCATTCTATCACTGTTTTTCAGCTATCTAAACAAGTACAACATTTATACCCACAGCTTCATATACAGAAATTGTATTTCCTTTCCCCCCAAAAGAGTTAAGTAAACTTCCCCAGTTTAACTAGCGTTTAAAAAACTAACCACCACTGTAAGACAACGGACATTTGTGAATGTCAGTTGCTCTTGTTTACTTGTTTATCCGCATTAACTAATCCCGAAAGGATGAATGACCCTTCTTTAAACATTTTCTTTTCATATAAAAATAGAATTTTTTAAAAGATGGGGTCTTGCTATGTTGCCCAGGCTGCTCCCAAGCTCCTGGGCTCAAGTGATCCTTCTGACTCAGCCTCCCAAGTAGCTGGAGCTACAGGTGTCTGCCACCAACCACGCCCTTCAGGATGACCCTTCTGAAAGAAATGATGGCAAGACTATGAGTACTATCACATTTACTTATATACCAACTTATTTTAAAAATAATTTGAAGTGGCATTATACAAAAGTAAACATTTCTACACTCAAAAGTGGCTGCTCGTTTGTTCTTTTAATTAATGCAAGATTTCACTTAGTGCCATAACTTTACCTAACAGGTTAAAACTTTTAGGTTGGCTCTAATTACTATTTTCCATAGTCACATGTTTTCAAGGGTTAGCCAGGTCTTAAGAGTTTTTGTTTCATGAAAGTCATATCGTACCATCATCTCAAAAAAATGGGCTTTTCCTAAGTTATAGTATTTAAACCTGAGACACAAAGGGAAAATGCCATGTGATGACGGAGGCAGAGACTGGAGTGATGCAGCTGCAAGCCAAGGAAACCCAAGGATTGCCAAGAACCACCAGAAGCTAGGAAGAGGCAAGGAAGGATCACCCCCATGAGAGCCCCCAAAGAGAGCCTCGCTCAGCCATCACCTTGATTTCAGACTTCCGGTCTCCAGAAGTGGATGACAATATATTTCTATTGTCTGAAACCACCTGGTTTGTGGTACTTTGTAATGACAGCTTAGGAAACTAATATAGATTTTGGTAATTCTTATTTGTCACAAAATAGTCTCAAATCTAGCATTATTATTGATCATCCTGGTTTGTTAGAGTTGAGATGGAGCAGGAACCCCTCTTAAGGGGCCAGGTGTCCCCCAAGCATGGAAATAAAGGAAAATTTTGAGTTCCTTCAAGGGAAATTCCAGGCACCTAGCTAGTCCTATGAATAAATAAGCAACTTGATAAGCAAGAGAGTAATAGTAGCTTAAAACAATAAGCAAGGAAGTCACAGGATATTTGGTTCCTTATAGAAACTAAAGATAACATCTTAACATATGTCCCTGAGTTGTTCTTCAGAAACCTGGACCCCCACCAAATGGATCCACTGGCCAGGGAAGGGGGAACTGAGGACTGAGCTCTGACTGCCATTCTTTGTTCTCAATGTCTTCCTGAGGGGCCTATAGGAAGTCACGCCCATGGGGCAGACTTAGCATTCTTTTCTGCTGACCCCAAGTTTTTTGACAAAGCTTTGATTCCTTAATCAATTGCAAATAAGAAAATCTTTAAATTCACCTATGACCTGTAAGTCACCCCCTGCCACCCCGAGCTTCAAGACAGGCCACCTTTTTAGGCCAAACCATTGTGTATTGATGTACAATTTTGCCTGTAACTTATGCTTTCCTGAAATTCACCCCTGCCTTTAAAAACCCTTGCTTGTAAAGCCATGAGGGAGGTTAGGTCTTAAGCGTGAGCTGCCTCATTTTTCTTGTTTGGTGCCCTGCCTGCAGATAAATGCCCTCCTTTTTCCTGCTGCAAAACCTTGCTGTGAATGTTTGGCTAACTGTGCCAGGTGAACAGACTTCAGTTTAGTTCAGTAAAATGGTGTGAAGGAGATATTAAAATACAATAAAAGAGTAATTCATGATTTACCTCCATTGTGATTTTTAAAAAATAATTCCAAATTTAAATTTAACCATACAGAAAACAAACAAGTTATTTTCAGAAATAAGTTTTCAGTGTTTTATCGTATTTGATAGCAGCTTTTTTTATTGGTTACAAAACCTAAGCCCATATACAAAATTAGGAACACATTTAGATGCCTCTTTTGAAAGAACGTTTTAGTCTTTTTAAACTGAGTTTAAAAAAAAATAAAAACAATGCAATTTTTAAACACTGTTTTGAAAACTTAAAAGTGCAGCAATATACTTAGTTTCCTTTATCTACGAAATGGTGCAATTCCAATTCAAAACTGGTGAGGTCACAAATTGAATCAAGGAAATGCATACAAATGTCTGCACTACTTGATGCTAATGTTCACTTAAATGTTAGTTTGCACTTTAAAACATGAGAGGAAATAGGAATCATCACAGTAGAGGCCCAATTTTAATCATAATGTGTGCAAATTTTAAAAGGTAACTGTCAGTTAAGTAAGGAAAGTCCAGAAGAAACTAAACTGGAAGGGGTACAGTTCACAATATCAAGAAGATTTGGACTTTTAAGGGTTTCACCGAAGTTTGTGACCTTAATTAGCTTTTACGTTGTTATTCCTACTTTTAGTGAACACCACGCAGTTTCAAAAATTTAGACTATAGTGTCCAAACAGGATGCAGTTACCATATGAAGCTTTAACTCAAAATTTGGATAAAGAAAAAAAGGCACAATGAACTTCAACTCAATTTTATGTGCACAAGAGTTGAAAAATCTGAGCCACCTTAAAGAGAAATTGATTCTAAAATTTATAAAACCTATAAATAATCAGAGGCCAAACCACTATATTAAAACAGATTCTCTAGCAAGTAAAAATCTTGCAGTTTAAACATACGCTTGTATCCACTTTAGATACAAGACAAAACTCACTCTTTAAAGTGGCTCCACCTTGGCAGATACATATATTTGTAATGAATGCACACCTGCTATGTGTTGTTTATCAGTGAAAACACCCCAGCTGATTCACAAAGCTCTGATGGCATCTGTCTCATCTTCATCACAGTAAATACACCCCCTATGGATAACTAAATTAGTTTAGATTTTCTATCCCTTCACATCAATGCATTGGGAAATTATACCCAGTAAACAAGAGCAACAATACCATTTCTGTGACAGCACAAATTATTTAGTTTAAAAATTTTCAAATCCATATTCTTTCATTAATAACTGGGCCAGACAATTTACCAAAAGCAATAACTTGACATAGTAATAGGATTTTGCAGAATTACTTAGAGATCACTGCAAATCAGGTTTATGTTAAATAACTGCAAATTACTCCTCTACACAGATCCCTGTCTGAATCTTTTAATATATGAAGATGCTTTTAGAGTAGGATCTGAATTAACTTTCCCAATACTCAAAGAATGAAGTCTTATGACACTTCTAAATAGTTGCTGGTTTGTTGCCAACCACATTATCAAAAGCACTGGTTACTAAGTAAAAAATATTTTAAGACTAAATTACAGTAAACATGAAAGCTCCACAGTTTAAACCCAATATAAATCAACCATATCCAATTATCAAATTAAAACAAAGAATATTAACTCCTGAAAGCTGAAAGCAAGATTTTTTAAAAAACATCACCAATGGGTATTTTAGACTTTTGTAGTTTTTTTTTTTTTTTTTTGTCTTGTTTTTTGTTTTGCTGTTTTTCCTTTATAGTCAGGGACTCTTGCTTTCAACTTAAACAGAAGTTCAAGTCCATAACAGGTTGCAGCTCAGGTAAAATACCATGCACAGCATTTGATTACTTCAAAACAGCAGGAACACACAGGCTGAAGAGAGTGGTCAAATAGGGCTTGCTGTTCTCAAAAATTAGGTATAATGGCAAAAGCATTAATATCCATATCTAAAGTTCTTCCTCCAACCCTGGCTTCTGAGGCAGATAATAAACACATCAATTACTGGTAGATGAAGTACAGTTTTGTTTTGTTTTTTTAAACTTATCTGTTTATTCAATAACCAAGTTCCTTGTTTTTAAGTTACTTTTTTTGTGTCAGTTCCACCAATGAAAATCATTTGGCTTGTACTTTAAAATCTATTCTTCCACATAAAGAATATGAAAATATGTTTGTGGAGGACAATGATGGAGGCTCAGATCACACTGCACCTCTTTAGTCTTCCAACTTGTATATGCATCATACCAAAGTGTCTTGATCCACAGCGCACCATTTTCCAAAGGAGTATCAGTGGGCAGCTGACATGTCACCACTATGGAATATTTATTCTAAATTGGAGACTGCAGTTGTCAGCCTGTGGCACCAGGGAACAGGGAAAAATAGGGTAGTTGAGATTGTTAAGGAGAGTTCTAAAACAGTTTAGGAAATCATGCATATGCATTTACAGTCCATGTGATAGTGACTTTTGGCAACTGCAAAGTGACTGAGACATGGCTTGCTTTAGAAGCATCAAAACAAAGAGGCATGTGTGTTTTGGAGCCTTTTGTTGCTGTTGTTCTTATCATTTGGTAGCCATCTGGTGGTGCTTCATATTGAATGTGGGAAAGATGCTGCACTCAACTGAACTTAAAAATTAAATTCTTTTGTTTGAAGGTTGGCTGTTGGATCAAAATTGTAAGTACCTCCTTGTGTTGCTTCAGGAATGAGGCAGGGATCTTCATCAATCTATAAAAAAACAAGAAGAAAATCCTTATTAGGTTATGATACCATACATTATGATGTAAGTGGAACTGACTTTTTACCTCTTAGCAAATAATTCTATGTGAATGCTTTAATCACCTAAAAATATTCGGATAGATCAATAATTTTAGTGACAAATTTAATAATTTAAAATTTAACACGTTTCAAAACTGCATCCTTAAGTTTCTGTATCTGTAGATTTATTTAACCTATCTGAACATACATCACTTACATAATTACTATTTCTTCTTAGTTAACAGATTACAAATGAAACAAGAACTGTTTTTACAACTTTACCTTATAATGAAGTTTCAAAGTAAGAGAAAGTGACTGATGGAATGTCTAATAGAAATACAGTACAAACTTAGGTCATCCTAGTAATAAAACTCTTTGTAAATTTACATTGTGTATAGGTTTTCATTTACATGAAGACACACCCTATTTTAATATCTACTTACATCATCACCAGAGAAATACTGATCTATGATTTCAAATGCTAATTTATATATGTCTTCATTTTCATGTTGCTGTAAAACTTCAATTTTCTCCAAACCTGGTAAGAATAAAATAATCAAAATAACTGGTTAATTGATAAGGAGATACTAATCAAAACCATGCTCATTTTGATCATGCAGAAATCCTAAGGAACTCAGAACACACTGCTCCCCCATTTAAGATGGTGGTTTGTCTAAAATACAGATAAAACACGGGGCTGGTTCTAGTTGGAGGACCAGAATCCCACTAATTTTTTTCCTTCTTAGAAGCCCGTGAGGTACCCGGATCCCTGAGGCAGGCAGTCTAAAAAAACACCCAAACAATCCATTTGACAGAGGGAAGCTGTGGCATAAATATGTAAAGAGACTTATTTCAAGTTATATGGCAAGTTTGTGACAGTACTAGAACTGACTCCCCCACACTGCTTTAATATAATCTTACTAATCCTTTTTTTCTTTTTGAGATGGAGTTTCTCTCTGTCACCCAGGCTGGAGTGCAGTGGCGAGATCTCGGCTCACTGCAAGCTCTGCCTCCTGGGTTCACGCCATTCTCTTGCCTCAGCCTCCCGAGTAGCTGGGACTACAGGCACCTGCCACCATGCCTGGATAATTTAGAGATGGGGTTTCACTGTGTTAGCTAGGATGATCTCGATCTCCTGACGTCGTGATCCGCCCCCGCCTCAGCCTCCCAAAGTGCTGGGATGACAGGCATGAGCCACCGCGCCCGGCGCTTTTTTTGGAGATAGAGTCTCACTCTGTCCCCAGGGCTGGACTGCAGTGGCGCGATCTCGGCTCACTGCAACCTCCACCTCCTGGGTTCAAGTGATTCTCTTGCCTCAGCCTTCCAAGTAGCTGGGATTACAGACTCTCGCCACTACGCCTAGCTAATTTTTTGTATTTTTAGTAGAGACAGGGTTTCACCGTGTTGGCCAGGCTGGTCTCGAACTCCTGACCTCATGATTTGCCCGCCTCAGCCTCCCAAAGTGCTGGGATTACAGGTGTGAGCCACCGCGCCCGGCCAATCTTACTAATCTTACTGCCTCATAAAGTAATTTGTATCTTTCTCTTTGTTTTCCAAATGTTAGTACTTTTATATAACCACAAAATAAGTTTTTAGAACCTTATAATTGGTATAAAAGAGAAAGATTTAAATTTTGAAAAACTTTCTTTAAAAAATGAATAGAGGTCTTATGTCCTATAGCCACACTGAACCTGGGGGAAAATATTTCCAGAACAGATACCATAGAATGGCTTCATTTATATTTCCAATATATTTACTCCACACATCATATACACAAGTTTACCAATTTCAAACTTTAATGTTCTTCCTTGAAATGTCTTTTTGAAGGTTATTTTAAAATAGTTGCATTTTTTTCCTTATATACTAATAAACCAGAAGAATGGGGGAAATTGTTGCCAAAGTGCTTTATACAATTATAAAATATTAATATGTATCCTAATTATTACTCCTATAGACAGAAGTAACTATATTGATAAAAAGCTGAAGAGTAATAATTCTCTAAGTTGCTCAAACTTGCTGGGTTATGAACCTGACTACAATGCTAATTTTTAATTATCTTAAAATATTGAAAAAGCAGAATGAGCAGTGAATTAATAGTAAGAAGATCTGGATTTTAATTTTGCTTCTATCACAACCTACTTCTGTGACCTTGGACAAAACTCCTTAAAATCTCTGGAATAACTTCTCAAGAAATCCTCCCGGCCGGGTGCAGTGGCTCATGCCTGTAATCCCAGTACTCTGGGAGGCCGAGGTGGGCAGGTCACCTGAGGTCGGGAGTTTAAGACCAACCTGACCAACATGGAGAAACCCTGTCTCTACTAAAAGTATAAAAACTTAGCCGGCGTAGTGGCGCATGCCTGTAATCCCAGCTACTCAGAAGGCTGAGGTAGGAGAATTTTAACCTGGGAGGCTGAGGTTGCGGTGAGCAGAGATCGAGGCATTGCGCTCCAGCCTGGGCAACAAGAGCAAAACTCTGTCTCAAAAAAACCAAAAACCAAAAAACAACAACAACAACAAAAAGAAATCCTCCTGGTTTGAGTATTCTATGATCCTACTGCATTTGTTTTCTCTTAAAAAATAAATAAACAATAGAATATTCATATAAAGTAGTCAATGAAAAATCTAAAACATGACATTATGATAAACTAAGGTTTAGACATGTTAGTACATATTGAACATGTACATTTAAAAATAGAATTTTAACATATGTTTCACATGTCATTACTAAAGAATAATACAGTATGTCAAATCACAATTATTTCTCATTAAAATTTCAAAGTAACTGCCACGGTAATAACTTCGGCATGTAGTTGTGGCAATCATAAGAACCATTACGAGATTGAAACAAAATATCTAGGTGACTCAGAAGTCAGTAACCTTTTCCAAGTATATGAATAGTATTTCCTAAAGTGGGGTCCACAGAATTACATGGTAATAACACACACACAAAAGTGTTTCATTGTTAAGGAGTTTAAGAAATGCTGGATTAAATAAAGCTTTAAAATTTATGTAGTGGTTGCAAGGGCTCTTAATTTGCTGTCATGCACTGTGACTTCAAGAGAAGTATTAGTGTTTCCTAAAATGCAATGTCAGGCCAGGCACAGTGGACCATGCCTGTAATCCCAGCACTTTGGGAGGCCGAGGCAGGTGGATCACTTGAGGTCAGGAGTTCGAGACCAACTTGGTGAAACCCTGTCTCTACTAAAAACACAAGAATCAGCTGGGTGTGGTGGTATGCACCTGTAATCCCAGCTACTTGGGAGGCTGAGGTGTGAGAACCGCTTGAACTCGGGAGGCAGAGGTTGCAGTGAGCTGAGTTTGTGCCACTGCACTCCAGCCTGGGTGACAGAGCAAGATTCTGTCTCCAAAAAAAAAAACTATGTTGTCAATCTCTAGAAGGTTACACAGTGACCTTCACAACCAGTTTTTGCAAAGTATGGACTACTGTCTTCTGGAAAATCCTCTTGGAATGCAAACATAGTGAATAAAGAAAAGCAACATACTGTGATCATTTAAAAACAACATATCCTAGTAATTTTCTTTCTACTAAGTTGACTTTAAAGAACTAATGTTTCAGAGTTCCAGTGCTCAAATATTCTTCTTCAATCAATCCACTCTTACCTCCACATTCCTCTATTATTTCAGCTATTGTGCTTGCTTCATCACCGGCCATTATCAGAATGTTTTTTAGACCATCTAGAACCACCTGAACCACTTGAGAATCTTTCACTGACAGTAAATTACAGAACGGTGGTATTACATTCTGCTGTACAAGGTACTCAACCTAGACAACAAAAGAGAAGACATATTTTTATTTATATAATTATCTATTCCCCAGCAGGGTGTCGTGCTACCTGGAAGGCTGAGGCAGGAGGGTATCTTGAGCCCAGGAGTTGGAGGATGTAGTGCTTTATGGTCACGCCCGTGAATAGCAACTGCACTCTAGCCTGGGCAACACAGCTATCTTTTCCCCAAAAACAACACAACACAGTCAGTAACTGCTAAACATAAGAGAGTAGCATGCTTTCCAGTATTAACAATCATGACAGTTACAGGTTTTCAAACTCACCTGATCTTTTCTGCCACTTATTGTTAAGTTGCTGATTGCCCAAGCAGCTTCTTTTTGTGTTCCAAAGTCCCCCTGAAGGTTAAAAATAAGAGATCATAAAATGGACTCTTTATCCAAAAAGTCTTGGTTATTAACAGATTAATAGACTCAGTGAACTCATAATATGACCAACCTTAGCAAGCTGATGAATAATCATAGGAATTAATCCAGCATCTATTACAGCTTGAACTTGTTGCTGGTTGCCTGCTGTTATGTTGGAAAGGAACCACACTGCTTCCTATAATTGAACAAAATATAGGGCACCTTTATTTGAAAAATAATACCTTTAATGCCTTTCTATTTTAATATATTTTATATAGACAATAACGAAATCACCTAAATTACATTAAACAGACTGCATCTAAAAACTGATTAGGTATACAAAATCTTCCATTTTAAACAATAAGGAAATTTCCATTAATTATATTTGGGCTCTAATAACCTGGCATTTATCCATTCATTAGTATATAGGCCTACTATAAGCTAGGCATTATTCTAGGAAATGGTGATACAGAAGTGAACAAAGCAGCTTCCTCTAAAAGACACAAATAAATATACAACTGAATTTCTTTTTTTTTTTTTTTTTTTTTTTTGAGACGGAGTCTCACTCTGTCGCCCAGGCTGGAGTGCAGTGGCATGATCTCGGCTCACTGCAAGCTCCACCTCCCGGGTTCACACCATTCTCCTGCCTCAGCCTCCTGAGTAGCTGGGACTACAGGCGCCTGTCGCCAAGCCCGGCTAATTTTTTTCTATTTTTAGCAGAGACGGGGTTTCACTGTGTTACCCAGGATGGTCTCAATCTCCTGACCTCGTGATCCACCCGCCTCAGCCTCCCAAAGTGCTGGGATTACAGGCGTGAGCCACTGCGCCCAGCCACTATACAACTGAATTTCTAAAACTACTTAAAAACTACTTCTAATAAAGGTGAATTTTTTATTTTAAAAACATTTACTCACAAGATATAGTCATTCAAGTATTCCATAGAAATTAACCATCTAACTAGCATGGGTCTACATAACATAAATATTCTAAAACTAAAGGATTTAGAAGTCATCAACACGTCTGTGAGCTGTTTATAGGTCAGTATCACATGTGTATCTTCCTCTTCCACAACTGAATTTATTTTGCCATCCAACTGTGGTAAGTTGTTAATAATTGCTGAATCTGTGTTCAGAGTACATGGGTGTTCACTATACTATTCTTGCACAGTTAGATTTAAAAAGTTTCAAACAAAAATGCTGAGGGAAGAAAATCAAGTTGGTAACTTCTACTTCCGGGGTCCCATGATGGTCTCAAGATGCAAGTAACAAATTTTCAAGGCAAAAAATTTTTGAAGTAACTAATTGCCTGCTGAAGCCAAGACAGCATTTCTATGAAATTTTCCTCTACCCCTTCGATACCCTCACTTAAGAACATACTGCATCACAGGCCGAAACCTTTCTCTGCTGACTTCTACTCAGCTTCCTCACTTCTCAGTTGTTTCTAGTTATGGAATACATTTATTTAACTAAAAAAAAAAAAATCACCTATATTGTTAAAAATTTCTATAGTAAAAATAACTGGTTCAGAGTCTGAAAGTCTCTGGCTTCTTTCTCTTCACTGGAACAAATGTATCTTTAAAATGTGTTTTTTGACACCATACTTTTCTATAAGAACTCAATAGTCAAATTATAGTCAAGCAACTACATAAATATAGTTATGACGACGAAGAAGAAATGATCAGTTCTGCTGGGTTTGGGTGATGGTAGTGTATTAGGCAGACAAAACTTCAGTAAACTAAATGTAAATTTAAACCACAATGAGACATCACTTCACATCTACTAGGATGTCAATAATTTTTTTTAATAGAAAATAAGCGTTGGCTAGGATGTGGAGAAATTAGAATTCTAGTAACATTGCTGGTGGGAATGTAAAGCAGCTGCAATAGAAAACGGTTTGGTGGTTCCTCAAAAAGCTAAACCCAGAATTAACATATGATCGAGCAATTCTACTCTCAGTTACTATCCAAAGAAATTGAAAGTGGGAACTCAAATAGGTATTTGTATGCCAATGTTCACTGCAGCATTATTCATAACAGTGAAAAGGTGGAAACAACCCAAGTGTCCATCAACAGAAAGATGGAAAAACAAAACGTGGTGTATACATATAAGGGAATATTTATTCAGCCACAGAAAGAAGTTCTGACACATGCTGCCAAATGGATGAACCTTGAAAACATGCTGGATGAAATAAGCCAGACATGAAGACTTTTTACTAGTAAGTACATATTACACAATTAATAATAAACTTGTCTATGAAGCTTGAAATCTTAAAAAGAGTAATTTTTTATGATCCTTGAATTTAGGCACCTCGTCTTTGGATTCAATCTAATTTTGCTGGGAGATCAAATTTTTATGATCTGTTTGTTTAACAAAAATACCAGCCCATTCAAATGGCAGATTTTGTCTGCACTTTCAAGTGGCTACAATTTAATGATTGTTGCTATGCTCAGTCTATTTAAATAGAAACACAGGTAGTCTAAAAATGTTTTTTACTCTGTGATGATCAGGGCAGCACCTACCAGAAGCAATTAAAAGTTGAAAAAGGCTGGGTGCAGTGGCTTACACCTGTAATCCCAGCACTTTGTGGGGCTGAAGCAGGCGGATCACAAGGTCAGGAGTTCGACACCAGCCTGGACAATGTGGTGAAACCCCATCTCTACTAAAAATACAAACATTAGCCAGGTGTGGTGGCGGACGCCTGTAGTCCCAGCTTCTTGGCAGGCTGAGGCAGGAGAACTGCTTGAACCCAGGAGGCAGAGGTTGCAGTGAGCCGAGATCGTGCTACTGCACTCCAACCTGGGTGACAGACTCTGTCTCAAAAAAAAAAAAAAGTTGAAGAAAAACATTTGCAGAGATGATTTAATAATTCTCATCTTCACTGCAGTGGTTTTTAAGAAAAACACACAAGCAGCAATAGAAACAAGGAGACAGTTAAAAATGAGACATAGAAAGAGAAATAGCATAATGAGGACATTATATGTCTTACCTTATTTATCTTCTCTTTTGGGTGTGATAAGAGATTTGGGAAGTGTGACAGGACATCACAATTGAGAACAACCTGGGTCTGCTCATCGGTGCCAGTCACTATGTTGCCAACTGCTCGGAGGGCTGCTGTCTAGGGTGGGGATAAAATGTTTTCTATAAATTTATTTGCTTATAAGACTGATTCTATATTTTTCATAATCCTGAGAAAAAGTAAAAATGCCAAGGCGTGAATAACACTTATTTCATCCTTTCACAAAGCACCAAGAAGTCTGAGAGCAATTCTGAATTTTAAATAGTCTCTTGTGAAAAACTGAAACTTCATGAAAAAAAAATTGTGTGAAAATTGGTTGGAAAAAGATTCAAAAAATAAAAGGAAATTAAATGAAAAAAAATAAATCTAAATTAAAATGCTAGAAGTCCAGTTTCTTAAGGCTGGGCATGGTGGCTCATGCCTGTAATCCCAGCACTTTGGGAGGCCAAGGTAGGGGATCACCTGAGGTCAGGAGTTTAAGACCAGCCTGGGCAACATAGTGAAACTCCATCTCTAACTAAAAATACAAAAATTAGCGAGTGTGATGGTGCATGCCTGTAATCCCAGCTACTCTGAAGGCTGAGGCAGGAGAATCAAGAGGCAGAGGCTGCAGTGAGCAGAGATCCCACTACCATACTCCAGCTTGGGGGACAGAGCAAGACTCCATCTCAAAAAAAATACATATATATTTTAATAAAGGCCTGGAATGGGCACACATTTCCACCTAGAAAGTCACTTTGGTAGAAGTAGGATGAACAGATCTAGCAAGTGCCTACCCCTAATTAGAGTGGGAGAGAAAGTAGAAATGAAATTAGGTTATTCCAAGTATTTGGGGGAAAGACAGAGTCTTGAACTAAATCTGTGGTTCCAGATAGATAAGGAGAGACAGATTTGAACCTATATAAGAAGAATTGAAATTATTTTGTAATGGAATGGGAATTGCAAGGAGGAATCAAAATTTCTAGCTTAGGCCATGCTGTTCACTGAAAGCAGACAAGGAAGAAGAGCAGGTATGTGGGAGATGATTGTTTCATTTCTGTCTAGTAAAACATGGAAAGCTTGAAGGAGTTCTTAGATGGTATGTATAAAGGGTCAAGAACAATTGGCTATACAGGGTGGAACTCAGCAATGAATTTGGGTGAGATAAAGATTTGGAAATCAACAAAATGAGGCTCAGGGACTAGCAGAAGAAATCTGGAAGATAAGCACTTACAGATAGAATTAAAGCCTAGTTGTACAAGTTAACTGGTTATAGCAAACAATTCTATACAAATAAGAAGAATTTAAAAATACTTACTTGAACTTTGACTTCCTGATGGCTCAGAAGGGGCACAAGAAATGGCACAACTCCTGAATCAATAACCATCTGTATCTGCTCATTACCTCCATCTGTCAAGTATGACAGAGCCCAAACAGTGTCTACAAGAATCTACAGGAAACACAAAAGAAAAACCATTTTACATATTTGTTTGACTGCTTTACATGTTCAACACGCCTCAGGAGTAGTGACAGAAAAAGTAAGCAAATTTCATGTTTTAGCTTAGCGGCAAAAATATCTGCTTAGCTGATTAACCTACTAAGTAGAAAGTACCTTATCTGTCTCTCAATGCCTACCTCAGATCATTTTTCACAAAAAATGAGACACAGAAGTCTGGGAAAACTTCTATTCCAACTTCTGCATTTATGTATCAGATAGATGCATTTAAAAACAGGCAGAAAAGTAATTCTCCCTGCCCTCACAAATTAGCTACCTAATAATCACATAGAAAAACACTATTTACAAGAATGAGGCCAACACACCATGCTGTTTTAAGTTCAGAAGAGAACAGAAAGGTCTTCTATATACTCTACTGGTTTTCCAACATATTTAGTAATACAATTTTTCAGACTACTAAAGTAAACTAATAAAAGAAATGACTTGGCACTTTAACTTCATCTGGGGAAAAAATTGTTTGAAAATCTCCTGAAATGTGTCCCCAACTGAAAAGCCTGGAATATAAACCATGCCCTATGCCCATCCTAACTTTGCAACTACATAGAAGAAAACAGGCTCAGAGATCTGGTGATTCATTCAAAGTCACAGATCTTGTATGTGGCACTGCTTGGTATTGTCACAGAGGAATATAAGCACTGGTTGTAGCTTATGCAAAATCAAGATGTTTCCTATTAGGTCATCCAAATTGAAGACATCACATCTTTTTGCCCTAAAATAATAGCAGGCACCTGAATTCACATACCCTTCAAAAAAGCATATAGATGAATAAATAAAATAAAACCACACATATAACCCACACCCCTTCAGCATCACTAAGAGTCAGAGAACACTAAAAATTTCCATTACCTGTAAGAGGAGAAAAAAATTAAATTCTAGCTTTTGTCTGGACCTCTTGCCTCAAGACTGTGTAAAAGAGAGCAGAGAAAGGGAGAGGGAAGTCCACTTCAGTGGAAGAGACTATATGGCCTGCAAAGCCTAAGATATTCTCTGAACTTTTACAGAAAATTTTACTGATCCCTTAACTAGAGCATGAGCTTCATTCAACAGATGACTGGGGCAACTTCAGCAACAGGATTGATAAATGAGTATATAACATACGTTAATTGTATATCAAGGACTAACACAAACGAGATAAGAGTGGAAAAAGAATTTGTAAATGTTATAGGTTTTAGAAAAATAGAAATACTGCAACTTCAAAAATTGGAGGATAGAAGCTGGGCCTAAGAGCAGAGCCCACCTACCAGCCCATTTCCCATCCTGGAAGTGAGGAGGCCTCCCTGCTGGAGGTGTCTGCAGATGCTGTGTGTGAGAACAAAGTCTGGCTACTGCCCAGCCTGGCAGTAACAGGTAACTAGATTTATCTAGAAACAGGGGTCTCAAAGCATAACACCAGTATGTGTAGGCTACAATGGAAAATAACCCTTCATACCAAGATCCAGGAATTTCTCAAAAGAGAAAAGACAGTCAACATATGCCAATATTGAGACGACACAGATATTGGAATTATCTGACAAAGACTTGATAAGATTTTAAAGTAACTACCATAAAAATGCACTGGTGAACAATTATGAACACATTTGAAACAAATTTAAAATGAGAATTCTCAGCAAAAAAACCTGACATGATGGAGGGGGGAAAAAGAAATCAACGAACCCAAAGACATTTCAACAGAAATCATCCAAACTGAACAACAGAAAAAAAAAAAAAAAAAAAAAAAAAAAATTAAAGAGAAATTAACTCTCAGGAACTTCCAGCACAATGAAAATAGATCTAATATTTGTGTCTTCAGAGTCCCTACAAGGAAACGAGGAGCTGAAAAAAATGTGAAGAAACATGTTCCAAATTTGGCAAAATAGGTAAGTCTAGAATCAGATTAAAAAATGGGAGGCTGAGTCAAGAGAAGAGAAAATAGAATAAGCTCATGCATCACTGCACAGGTAAGAGATAGAAGTTAAAAAACATATTTTAAACTGTCAAAACAGATAGTAAAAAAGGAGCATCAAAAAGGCGTAAGAATAAAGGTAACCACTAGAACAAAAATACAAATCTCCCCAAATACCAAAAGAAAATTGAAAAAGATAAAAGTATGCTAAGCAGAGAAAAAAAAACACATAGAAATTATTTCACAAAGTGACAGTTCAAATCAATCTATCAACTTATGTGAATGGGCCTACTCACCTATTTTAAAAAAAAAAAAAAAAAAAAAGATTTTCAAATTGGCTCTGGCTCTCAAAACAAAACTCAATTCCATGCTGTATACAAGAGACACACATAAAACAAAGAATTTGGAAAGGCTAAAAATAAAGGGATGAGCAAAAGTATACCAAATAAACAATAAAAAGAAAGCTGAGGTTGTAATCCTGTAAAAAGACCAGTAGAATTTAAGCTAAAAAGCATTACAAAGGAAAAAGATACCTTACAAAGTTAAATCCCACAAATTATCATGAAAATACAACAATTATAAACATCTATTAATCAAATAACCTTGCAATCACTGTTTTCAAGCAGAGAATAAACACACACACAAATATATGCAAAAACATACTAATAATAGGTTTTAACATACTACTGTCATATGAGAGAAGTCAAATTGGCAAAAACTAAAGATATAACTCTTATGAATGTATATTGAACTTTATACCCCAATAATGGCAACAACTTGCACATGTACAAATATCACATTAGGTTCAAAGAAAACATTAATAAATTACCTAAGTCAGAAACATTATAAGCCTATCACAAAGCAACAAAATTATACATTAATAAAATGAAAACCGGCCGGGCGTGGTGGCTCACGCCTGTAATCCCAGCATTTTGGATGGCTGAGGCAGGTGGATCTCCTGAGGTCAGGAGTTTGAGACCAACCTAACCAACATGGAGAAACTCATCTCTACTAAAAACATAAATTAGCAGGGCATGGTGGCACGTGCCTATGATCCCACCTACTCGGGAGGCTGAGGCAAGAGAACTGCTTGAACCCGGGAGGCAAAGGTTGCAGTGAGCCGAGATTGTGCCACTGCACTCCAGCCTGGGTGACTGAGCCAGACTCTGTCTCAAACTAAACTAAACTAAACTAAAGTAAACTAAACTAAACTAAACTGAAAACCAAAAAAGCCTTTTCTATACAGAAATGTAATAGCCTTATATTAAACAACTCTTGGGTGAAAAAAAAATACACAAAAAAACAAAAAAACCCAACAACAAAATTTCTATTTTTTCTTTTTGAGACAGTCTCACTCTGTCACCCTGACTGGGGTGTAGTGGCGCAATCTTGGCTCACTGCAACCTCTGCCTCCTGAGTTCAAGTGATTCTCCTGCCTCAGCCTCCTGTGTAGCTGGGATTACAGGCGCGCACCATCACACCCAGCTAATTTTTGTGTTTTTAGTAGAAATGAGGTTTTACCATGTTGGCCAGGCTGGTCTCAAACTCCTGACCTCAGGTGATCCGCCCACCTCAGCCTCCCAAAGTGCTGGAATTACAGGCATGAGCCAAAATGCCTGGACTAAACTCAACAAAATTTCTAAAAAGTTAAAACAAAAATGCCACACATCAGAATCTATGAGGTTTATTTAAAACAGTGATTAAAGGAAAATTCACAGCCTTAAAAATTTATACAAATGTGTCTGAACCCACAGAATGCACAATAGCAAGAGTGAATGAACCACAGTGCAAACTACGGATTTTGGGTAATTATGATGTGTCAATGAAAAATACACAATGAGATAAAGAACAGAAAAATCACAGATCTAGCTAATAAACTGAAACCCTGGTTCTCTGAAACAAAACAAAACACAAAAAACTAAGAAACACAGAAAAAGTCCTACCTAATTTAATTAGAAAAGAGCAGGGAAGGGGCACAAATACACAAAATGAGAAATGATAATAACTCTTAAAATAATAAATTAGAACAAAACCCGTATAAAAACTACCCTGCACACTTTAATGCAAGTAAACGTAGATGCAGTGAAAAATTTCCTAGAACAATAGTTTATAAAAACTGACCTCCTTTAGAAAGAGTGCTTAAACAAGCCAACTTCCACATCAAAAATAAAGAAAATTATCACGAAACTAATTCCACAAAAAAGTACCAAAACCCCAAAGGATTTAAGAGGGAAACTATCAAATCTTCAAAGGTCAGATAGACTCGATGCTATATAAATTGTTCCAGAGTACAGAAAATGAAGGAACCATAACATTAACATCTAAACTTTAATAAAACAATAAAAGTATAAAACCTAATACATCAAGATGATAGCACCATTAACTAACTGTATTAATATAATTAAAATTAATATTAGTATTTGTAATTAATGTCAATTATTGCCTAATAAATTGAACAAAAGCTAAACTGCAAACCAGTATCACTTAACGTGAATGCTGATGTAAAAATCTGAAATAAAATATTAAACAGAATCACGTACTACATTAAGAAACTAACATATAATGATCAAGTGAAATTATTCAAAGAATGCAAGGATGGGTCAGTTTTTAAAAATATCATTAATATAAGTTTTAATAGTAGATTTAAGGAGAAAAATAATATAATTTTCTCTGTAGACACTGAAAAATTCATCACATTTTTTTAGTGTCCTTGATAGAACACCCAAAAAAAGGAATGTATAGATATTTCTCTAACATAAAACATCTATAGTTCAGACAAAATGTAGATAGAATTAAAAAAAGATTGATGAATTTGATTATATACAAAAAGTTCACATGGCAAAATATCATGCTCAAAGACAAAAGACAAACTAGGGAAGTATTTTAAGTATGGAAGAGAATATCTTTAATATATAAAGAACTCTTAAAACCTAAGAAAAAGACCAAAAATCCTACAGAAAAACGGACAGTAAATATGACTAGTCTGTTCGCAAAGATACAAACTAAAATGGTCCTTAAACAAATGAAATAATTGTTCAACTTCATTCATAAAAAGTAAAATGCAAAGTAAAACTGAGATACTATTTCTCACCTATCAGATGATCAAAAATTTTAAATGTGACAACACACTCTTGGCAAGGATACTGAGAAAGCCACTTTCACTTCTGAATGCACACAGTAAGCTATGCATCACTGCATACACTACATAATAGATAAAGGAGTCGAAAAAGGTTGTTTAAAACTGTCAAAACAGTACAAAAGAAAAGATAAAAGAATAAAAGTTACCACTAGAACAAGAATACAAACCTTCCCAAATACCAAGGCAATATGGCACAACCCTTACAGTAGGGAATTTGTCAGTATGCAACGAAATTACAAATGCATTCACTCTTTGACCCAGCAATCCTGCTTCTAAGAACATACCCTGAAGATATACCTCCAATATATGAAAACACACATATATAAGTATTAGTCTTTGGTATAATACTTTTACATTTGCAAAATTCAGGAAATAGCCTAAATGCCTATCCATAATAGTGTGTTTAAATAAACTGTGTCCACAAAACAGAATCCTATGCAAAACGACATGGTATCTTAAGATATTTCTCTATTACATGGTTACTATTATTAGCAGAAAACTATTTTTTTTCTAGCTAATAATGAAATTGTAGACTGAGATCAATTAACCGTTTTCAGTGGGGACTCCATGACAATATCTCAAAGGCTGGGAGAAGGTAAGCTACAGCTGGGTCTTAGGCACCCTGAAACTGCAGATACTTGTAGTCTCTAATTTTTTATTTTTAGAGATGGGGTCCCAGTATGTTGCCTAGGCTGGACTTGAACTCCTGGGCTCAAGCGATTTTCTTGCCTTTGAGCTATATTAGCCTTTGAGCTATCAACCCAAAATAAAAATTTGACCATTTATTCTCTGGCTCCTTATCTGCTACATAAAAAGGATATGTAGTTCTTTAGACAAGACTATACGACCTAGAACCTATTAAATCTCTGCCTTATTTTTCCCCACTCTTTGTTCCATAGTTTATGCTTCTATCACACTACTTAATTTAATTATTATTATTATTTTTAACACAGCATCTCGCTCTGTTGCCCAGGCGGGAATGCAGTGGCAAGATCTTGGTTCACTGCAACCTCCACCTCCCTGACTCAAACGATTCGCCTGCCTCAGCCTCCCGAGTAGCTGGGATTACAGGCACGCATTACGATGCCCAGGTAATTTTTGTATTTTTAGAAGAGACAGGGTTTTGCCATGTTGGCCAGGCTGGTCTCAAACTTTTGACCTCAAGTGATCCGCCCGCCTCAGCCTTCCAAAGTGCTAGGATTACAAACGGAAGCCACCGTGCCCAGCCATCATCACACTACTTTTAAAAACTCCTTTGTTGGTTCTTCTTCCCTTGCTGCCATTGCTGAAATGCAGGGAATTCCTCAGTTACATTTTTAGCCCTCCTTCCAAAATACAGCCTCCCCCAGGCAATCTCATTCAATGCCCAGGTTTTCATCAATCCCTTAAATACTGACTAATCCAAAATCTGTATTGTTTTTTGCTTTTGCAAAATACCACCACTGAGGAACAAGTTCCAAGTTCTACTCTATTTCCTAACACTCAAAGTTTTTTCTCCCCTAACCATTCCTACCATTGCAATTTAATAAGAGCCCATGCCTTCATCGATTTCCCTAAACCTATTATGATAGCAAAATACATCTACCTACATTCAAACTTACCCCCCTCCAAACCTTCCATACCTTTTATGTGTTATTTGTCTGTTACAGATAATTTTATCTGTATAAAACAGAAATATCATTTCACAATTTAAAAAATATACAATGACTCTGTACTTGTTACAAGATAAACTTAAAACTATTTAATATAGAATAAAAAACTCATATAAAAAATAAGCAGCGAGTGGTGGTGTACACTGTAATCCCAGCTACTGGAGAGGCTGAGGCAGGAGAATCCCTTGAACCCGGGAGGCGGAGGTTGCAGTGAGCCTAGATTGCGCCACTGCACTCCAGCCTAGGTGATAGAGCGAGACTCCATCTTGGGGAAAAAAAAAAAAAAAAAAGAATCAAAGACTCTGCAAATCAACTCCTTAGCAAATATATTAGGTTATTATCTACCTGTATTCTCTTAAACCTCCATGTATTCTTGAGTCCTTAGTATCTTCCCCCATGTTCTTGAAATGACTTTCTCTCAACCTGTCAAGATCCTATTCATCCTAGTTATATGATGTGAGACAA